GAGAGAGAGAGAGAGAGAGAGAGAGAGAGAGAGTTAAGAATATAGCAAAGGGAGCGTGCAACTAAGAAAATATAAGCAACATTGAAATAATCCGATCTTCTGCGATATGAACAACGTGTAAGTCAGCCCAAATTACTTATTTTCTTCTTCTTCTTCTTTGCGCCCCACTACATCTCGGGGGTGGTCAAGTGCCGGTTATTCAACCTGCAGTGCAACTTCCCTACTTCCTTATTCTTATAGGGCCTATTTCCTTCTGCCTGGGCAGATTCCGATTTCGAAAATACTCTACTATGAGTATGAGGTTGCTTTTTTATTTTTTTAAATTCTTTGGGGGGTTTTTCCCAGATGAGTATTTTAACGTTTTGGTATGAATGTATTTTGAATTTTTCATAATATGGGTCGAAATCTACTCTTATTCATTTTAGGACCACCAAAGGATCTTTAACGTGCGCTATTTGCACACGCGATCCGAGACCTTTCGCCCTTATCCGTGAAGGCTAGGAATTCGATCTCACCTAACCTTAGATCAGGGGTGTGGCTGAAAGATAGCAATAAGGATGAGCTAGGAGTAGCAGTAGAAAGAGCCAGGAGTGAAGGAGACAGAAGTCCTGATGAGGCCTGAGTGGTGGGATGAAAGTGGGGAGGAAAGCAAATGACAGAAAGGGGCTAGACAACAGGAAAGATGGTGAAAAGAGAAAATTTTAGAAAAGAAAATGTTTTTGTCAATGTCAGATTATGATCCCGAGACCTTTTGAAAGCAAGGCGAACACTGTACCTCTAGATCACAAGAGGGTCATGGTTTTTTTTTTAAGGAAACCCTAAGAAACAGGGCTTTCTGTCTCCTTAATTGCCTTGCATTTCAGTGTCAGGTTCATATGAGGAAAACACACACACACACACATACACACATACACACACACACACACACACACACACACACACACAAGCAGCAGTAACAACAACAGCAACAACAACAACAACAATTATTGTGAATTGCCTTGCATTTCAGTGTCAGGTTCATATGAGGAAAACACACACACACACACACACACACACACACATACACACAGACATACACACACACACACACACACATAGACACACACACACACACACACAAGCAACAGTAACAACAACAGCAACGACAACAACAACAACAACAAACATTTTAAATAGAGAATAAGAATCATATATCTCCAATTCAGGTTAAAATCGACCAATTTGTGTTTGTATTAGGGAGACATCTTTGTGTCATCTCTAAGTCGAATACAGGTCTAGCTCCCGAGATAATGCTTTGAAGAATTTTCTCACAATAAATACAATCACTTAATTCACAGTACTCTGTTTTTTTCCATGAATAAAAAGAACATTCCACATTTTGTAGATAATTGATTTCGTTCTTGTGGCAAACAATGCCATTTCGAATATGCACATTATATTATGAAACAATCAAGTGGACAATCACTAAAGACTGTGAAAATAAAACAGAAGAAACGTGGTTTCTTAGGAGATTGTTGAGAGTATCGGGGAAGGAAAAGAAATTAAATGAGGTAGTGCTTGATGAAGCCCACGCAGGACGCTCACTTTTAAAAACAATCAGGAAACGACAAAACGGCAAAACGGTCTTGAACGTCTAGCTCTCACTGGCAAAATTGAAGGCAAGCGAAGCAGGGGTAGGCCCAGAGCAACTACTTGGGGAACGTGAACAAGTGGATGACAGGGAAAGATCAGGGAAACGTGGCTTTTTTAATAAGAGCATCCGAGCAAAGGAATGAATGGAGAACCATGATCACCGATGTCTGTCACAGATCTGGCACTGGCTGATGATGATGATGATGATGATGATGATGATGATGATGATGATGATGATGATGATGATGATGATGATGATGATGATGATGATGATGAAACATAGTTTGTCGAAATGTAACAAGGTTTATTGATTAAAAATATTCACGCACTCAATGACAAACTTAGAAAATGCTGGAGGCGGGCTGCTCACATTGCCTGCCAGGGCCAACCCAAGCAGAGAGGCATAGAACATTCCAACAGAGAGACGGAGATACTCAATTTAAATTGAAAAACCCGTTCTGGCGCGAGAATCGAACTCAAGTCTTCTGCACACAACGTCAAATCGTGCAATCACAACAGTGTAGACACCAGTGAAATAAGGGGAGTTTGGTGAAAAAATAGTTATTAGTTTCGTGTAACTTGGAGTCAGAGAGAAAAACAACACAGATTTTGATCTGAAAAAAGCCCCCCCCCCCCCCCGAAACCCTCCCCCCCAAAAAAAAAAACCCAACTAAAAACGTGGAAATATTGAGCGGGTCAAGGAGTGGAGACTCGAGTTGAATGACCGGTTGAGATGGAGAAAAACGGACCAAAAAAAGTGGACAAAATGATTTAACAGAGATTAAAAAGAAAAAATAAGTTTTTAAGAGAGTTGAAACTGGGGCGATAGGAAGAAAGCGAGAAAGAAGAAACTCCAAATGACAAATTGTCAATGAAAACTAAAGTGTTGTTAAAAGTGTGGTTTTGTTTTTTTCTTGAGCAGTGGTATGTGGTTGCATTGTGAAAGAGGAATAAATAGGTAAATAGAAGAATAAGAAAAACAAAACAAAAATAAACAAAACAAATAACGGAATCAGAAACTAGAGGCTGACTAAGCTCAGTGTTAGCTGTTAAGCTTTCAATGGTTTTAGTTTTTAGTTCCCTTACATTTGTGAGGCAGCGTGGTGGAATCAGGCTCTCGTCAAAATAATCAAAGTGACGAAACTTGCATTTTTCCGCAGGTTTGTGAATTTTTTTCAAATTTTTGTTTTTTGGCTCAACACCTTTCATGCCCATTAAAGAATAATTTCAGTTTGGATTTTTCTGAAAAACAATGATTAAAGGCACAAAAGCTTTAAATTTTCAGTTACCACGGACTCTCAAATTAAGGAAATAACCAATCTTTGGCAGCCATTTTCTGACTAATTTTACCTCTGAAAACAGGTGACCCCCACCTCCTTGTTTCGCCAATATCTCGACTTGTATTCAAGATTAATGGATATTTTTTTCATCCCCCCCCCCCCCAAAAAAAAAAGAAAGAAATGTGAACAAGCTTTAAGATGATACCAATAACTCTACATGCCCAAAAATTGACGAGAGCCTGATTCCACCACGCTGCCTCACATTTTACAGTGCTCTTGTTTGTTGTTATTTTTTTTATTTTCTTTGTGTGTTTTCATTTTGCCCGGGGTCTGTGCGACAAGCGATTATAGTGCGGTCAAAATTTCGTGGCATAGCTTATCCTCAAATATATATCTCTTAAACGGATAAATCAATGTCACCCGTACTTTTCACAGCAGTTTGAATCAATTTGGGTTAATTTAATCATATTTTCCCATTACGATAGAGGCTAGATTTTAAAAAGAACTTTTTCTTCACAAATTTATATAAAATACTATAAATCTTCGACACGCGGAAAATGAGATTGTTCACAGCACTTCCCGCTTCTCGCACACATTTTTCATACGCATATGGCCTACGTCACAGCGAACCAATGACACTTTTTAGTGGCAAAAATTGTAACAAGAAATTAATTTTAGAATGAACACATTTTTTGCACTAAGGTTCTCAAAACGTGCGTTCAATACGTATATTGTCGCGAATTTAAAAAATAAAAGACAGACTTACGTTTAAAAGCGACATTGCCCCAGCTGTAAATTTGTTAAAATCTGTAGAAACCATCGACTGGGATTTGTTATTAGTATTTATTAAGGAATTTTCTAGAATACAGTGTTCAGATGTTTGAAAAACCATGCATCAGTAATGACAAATTGATATAAGCCATTGTGCAAAAGTTGAAGAATCTATGTTCCATAATTAAGGAGATATTTGACAAAAAGTTGCGCCACAAATTTTGGACAATACTTTCGATGTGTCGAGTTTGCAAAAGACAACGTGGGTCAGATTCTGGTTTCGAAAAGTCTGTTACTCTGAGCATATCCATCGTTTCCGTCGTAGGGGGAGAGGGGGAGGACGGCCAAGGATGCTGTGTCTCCTCGGTCCAAAGCCAAAGATTCTGTATCTCCTCAGTCTAAAGCCAAGGATTCTGTATCTCCTCAGTCTAAAGCCAAGGATTCTGTATCTCCTCAGTCTAAAACCAAAGATTCTGTATCTCCTCAGTCTAAAACCAAAGATTCTGTATCTCCTCAGTCTAAAGCCAAAGATTCTGTATCTCCTCAGTCCAAAGCCAAAGATTCTGTATCTCCTCAGTCTAAAGCCAAAGATTCTGTATATCCTCAGTCTAAAGCCAAAGATTCTGTATCTCCTCAGTCTAAAGCCAAGGATTCTGTATCTCCTCAATCCAAAGCCAAGGATTATGTACCTCCTCAGTTTAAAGCCAAGGATTATGTATCTCCTCAGTCTAAATCCAAAGATTCTGTATATCTTCAATCCAAACAGGATCAAAGCAGCCCGTCTCCTAAATTGTGCGGACGGACTTGTAAAATAGTTACTGCCGATCATTCCAAGA